CTCCTCCTCCTCCTCCTCCTCCTCCTCCTCCTCCTCCTCCTCCTCCTCCCCCGCCTCCTCCTCCTCCGCTGCCGTTCTTTTCCCCTCCCCGCTCGGCCTCCGCCCCCCGCCGCCCCTCGTCCCGCCCCCCCCCCTCTCCTCCCTCTACTGTCCTCTATCTCGCCCGACACGCCTGAGGAGGCCGAGAGGCCTCCCTCTTCCCCCTTCCTCTGGCGCGTGGGAGCCAGATCCACAGATCGGGAAACTACCCCTCGAAACATGAAGCTGGCGCCGCATCATTTGATGACGCATGCCTTCAGCCCGGGACCCGTCGCGTTCGTCCATGTACATTCACCCATGCTTGCGCTTCCTCAAAACACACCTCATGTCGCCCCCCCCTTCTCCTCGTATCCTCTGTCGCCCGTTGTTTGTTGTGCTTGCTTCACCTCCCTGCGAGCGTGGACAGGGCCTTTGGTGGCCCTGGAAACAGTAAGGCCGTTTTTTCACCGCTTCCAGAAAAATGCCCCTTGAAAACGGAAACGGCAAAAAAACGGCGACCCGAAACGGCAACAAAAACGGCTCCAGGATTGGAACCGGAGCCGGGACCGGTCAAAAAACGGCGACAAAACCGGTAAACAAACGGCGTCGGAACCGGCAACAAAAACGGCAAAACGGAACCGGTAACGAAAACGGCCCTGTCGTTTCCAGGGCCCACTAAGGACAGAGCACCCTCCCGTCTGGCCACCTCACTGCGGCCAGTGCCCCTCCCTGCCGTCGCTCGGACGTCCATTTCCCGTGCATTGTTCCGTTTCGTGCGTGCCCTTCTTGTGCTCGATGGTCCAGGATGGTCCTCGATGGTCCTCGCCGAAAAAAAATATGCACACGTCCGAGCGATGCCAAGCCTCTGAAGCCTGGGCCGTGCCGTGAGCGCCGCGGAGGCACCCGGCAAGCCTGTGCGAGGCCGAGCGGGCGCGCCCCCGGCCAGGCCCGAGCCTTGTCCCCGGCGAGCAGTCGCGCGGCGAGCGCATCCAGCTGCTCCTCCTCGGGGTCGGGAGGAGGGGGGGGGGCGGGAGTGGGGCGAAAAGGAGGGCGGAGGGGGTGGTGCGGGGGCGAGAACCGCCCCCCTGCGAAAATCACCGAATGATCCTTGCGTGGTTGTGTGTTGCTTTTCCTTTGCCCCCTTTTTCCTTTCCCGGGGGGAGGGGAGGGCGGAGGGCGGAGGAGGGGACGGGGACCAGTACGCCCAGATCTCCTCGGGACGCGAGGCATCAAGCAGCGCAGACTCCAAACATATCAGAGGATTGAAACGAAGCGGACTGAAGTGGATTGAAAGATGCAGGACTGGAGTAGACTGGACTGGGCTGGGGCGGATTCTACTCCGCCCTACTCTAATTCCACCCGACATACTCCACTCTGCTCTGGTCTGCTTTGCCCTGCTCTACTCTATCCTACCTGGTCTGCTTACCCCTAACCTACTCTACTCTATTACTCTACTCTGTTATGCCCTTCTCTGCTCTGCTTTGCTCTACTCTACTCTACCCTACTCTACTCTACTCTGGCTGCTAGTCCAACTCGTACTCCTCCGCCTACTCATGCTTCGAATCCACTCCACTCCACTCTACTTCACTCCACTCCATTCCACTTGACTCCACCTTATTATCAGAGTGAGGGGGCCGAACGGTCATTCATTGTCCCTGAGTGTGTGTGTGTGGCTGAAGTGAGAATCCGTGGTGAGGATTATGCTTGTTGCGTTGTTGAGTGTTCCCTATCAACAACTATTATTGTTGGACCCCCCCAGGCGCTTTGGCGCTCTCACCTCGGCGCCGGCTACATGTTCATTGAAAATGAGGCTCACGCTCGAGCGGTTTGGGGGGGCGCCCAAACCAGCCCCCCAACAACAACGCTCCCGCTCGAGACTTCCTCGTTTTTTACTGAGGTCGGTGCTCTTGCTCGCCGCCGAAAGCCGCCGTCCCAACAAGTCAGCGCTACCGCTCGAGACTTCCTCCCGTTTTACCTTGGACTGGCGCGCTACTCGTTCTCTCATCGGCGCCGCCCCCAGCAACAACAACGCTCCCGCTCGAGACTCCCTCCCATTTTTACTCAAGGCGGTGCTCCTCCTCGCCGCCGAAAGCCGCCGTCAAGACAAGAAAAGCGCTCCCGCCCGAGACTTCTTCCCGTTTATGTGGATTGGAGCCCTACTCTCTTTTGAAATGGCGCCGCTCCCAGCAACAACAACGCTCCCGCTCGAGACCTCCTCCCTTTTTCCTCAGGACGGTGCTGTTCCTCGCCGCCGACAGCCCCCGTCCCGACCAAACCACGGCTCCCGCTCGAGACTCCCTCCCTTCTTACTCAAGGCGGTGTTCCTCCTCGCCGCCGACAGCCGCCGCCCCAACAAAACCAGCGCTCCCGCTCGAGACTTCGTTTTGTTGTACGCTGGACTAGCGCCCTACCCTCTTCAGCATTGGCGCCGCTCCCAGCAACAACAGCGGCCCTGCTCGAGACTTCCTCCTTTTCTATTCAGGGCCAGGTCCTTGCCTCGCCGCCGACAGCCCCCATCCCCACCAAGGCAATCCTGTCGCTCGATATTTCCTTCTGCTTTACCCTTGGCTGGGGCTCCACTGGCGGTCTCGCATCGGCGCAGCAAGGCGCGGGCATGCGTTTTCGAGGCGGGATATGTTGAAATTCCTCGAAGGAGGTGTTTGCAAGACCTCATTGGGCGGGAGATCAGGGAGCGGGAATAACGGACCCCGCTATAGAACAATACTTCCCCATGATAGGGGATGGTTATCATGATGGCCGCATGCTTCGTGTGGAAACATCGCGCATGAGGGTAAACTGAATGTTGTTGTTACTGTTTGTTGTCGTTGTCCCCCCCCGCGACCCACCCGCGACCCACCCCGCGACCCACCCCGCGACCCACCCCGCAACCCACCCCGCGACCAACCTCGCGACCCACCCGCGACCCAACCAACGACCCACCCGCGACCCACCCGCGACCCACCCGCGACTCACCCGCGACCCACCCGCGACTCAATCAGCGACCCATCCGCGACCCACCCGCGACCCACCCGCGACCCACCCGCGACCCACGCCGCGACCCACCCCGCGACCCACCCGCGACCCACCCGCGACCGATCCACATAAGTTTGAAGAACAAATCGGCGCCTGCGGCAGACTCGTTGTATAATTTGTGAAACTTGGGCGCCTGCAGCGGGCTTCTCCAGAGTCTCGCAGACTGCCGACGTCCCCACCGCCCCCTCACTCTTATCCGCACCTGCGGGGTGCCACGTATTCCGAATCGACGATGCTCTAAAACGCAATCCTAGACCCTACTGAGCTTTATATGCTTTATATGCTCTGTACTCTTTATATGCCTCTAATCTACACTATGCCTCTATATGCTTTGTATGTTTTATATGCCCCTTTGTATAGCTTTATATGCTTTGTATGCCTCTTCTCTCAACTACTGAGCTTTACATGCTCTGTACTCTTCTCCCGCGTACGATACCCAACTCTGCGCTACCCACTCCCATACTCTAATCTACTCTGCACTGCCCTGCCCTTCTCTACTGTACCCGACCCTGCCCTAACCTACTCTGCGCTGCGCTACTCTACGCAAGCCTACTCTATCCTGCTCTACTCTACTCTACTCTACTGTGCTCTACTCTACTCTATTCTACTCTACTCTACTGTACTCTGCTCTACTCTACTGTGTCCCCTGCCATGTACTACTCTTCTCTGCTCTACTCTATCCTACTCTCCTCTACACTACCCCCAACAGCCCGGCGACCACCTCCCGCAGAGGCGCCTTATGCGCCGCCGCCCGCGAGGACCGCCTCCCAAGCGGCGTCCTCGCCTGCCGCGCCGCCCCCCAGGCAGCGGCGACAAACCGCCGTGCCGCGGCGCCAGCCATCCACGCCGAGCCGCTGGCGAAGCCGCCGCTCGAGGACCTGGCGGTCTGCGAAGCCTCTCCCGCGAGCCGCGAGCCTCGCCATCCGGGCCACGCGCGCGTCGGCCCCTTCATCGAGGCGGCCGTAGCAGCTGGTGACCGTCGGCTTGTGCTTCAGGCCTGGCTGCCGCAACTCCTCCAGCGCGGACGGCCCCAGCCGGCGTATGTTGGCAGCGCGCATCCCAACCACGCACTCGAAGCTGGCACCTGCCGAGAAAAGCGTCGTGATCCCAACGTCGAAGCACTCGCAGACGCCGTCTGGGGACGCGGCGGAGGAAAGCAGGTCCGCAGGAGGAGCGCCAGGACGACGGGTCACGAGCCCGACTGGCTCGGGGCAGCTAGAGGGATCGGCCATCACCGCGACTCCGCGGAGCACGTCGCGGATGCGGTTGTGCCCCTGGACTTCGCCGGCACCGCTGCACGATAGGCGCTAACTAGGCAGTGCGCCCCCTGGCCCACGATGAGGTTGCGACCAGAGCACCACGCGCAAGGCACCGCCTCGTCAAGGAGGCTCGCGCCCAGGAAGAGCAGCACTGCGCGAACTCTTCACGGTCGAGGCAAGCGCCCTGCGCTGGGTGCAGCGCCCATAGCCATGAGCTCGCGGAGCCTCGCACCGTCCTCCCAACACCCCTCGGCACGGGCCCGCCGCACCTCCGACTCAGCGCAAGCAACATCCAGAGCCCGAACCAGGCGCCGCTGCACGACGGCTCGGCCAGCGCGGGGTGCTCGGCGTCGAGAGCTCCCGCATCGGCGATGGAGAAGCCTTCATGCGTCGGCGGCCCCTGGACGTCGGCCTGTCAGATGGCAGGAAGCGGTGAGCCCTCCCAGATGCATTGCCATCCCTCGTGCATCTCCT